TGTAGAGTCAGGATGGATCACAGTCGCCAGCATTTAAACGGGAGACGGCCTATGCGAAGGGGTGGTCCATAGGTCTCAACAGACGACAGATGGGTACTCAGAGATATGAAACAACAGCACTTGTAGGAAATGCCAATGAAGTTGATGTCTGTATTCAAGGAATCAAGACAAGGGCTTTATTGGACACAGGAGCTACAGTATCTACTGTGAGTCAGGCATTTTATGATCAGTATCTCTCAGGTATTCCTGTCACCCCAATCACAAATGTCTTGGATATCGAGTGTGCTGATGGACAGCCCTTGCCATAATCAGGTTACATTCAGCTGGACTTCTGCTTGTTGTTCCTACAAGCAACTATAATCACAAGGTACCGGTTTTGCTTGGAACCAATATGTTATCGGTTTACTTAGGAACCTGTAGACAACTACATGGGGAGAAGTTTCTGCAAGATGCCAACCTTTATACACCTTGGTATTTAGCTTGTAGGTGTATGTTACTGCAGGAACGGGATCTTGTTCGACGAGAATTTAAGCTCGGACTAGTCAAGTGTGGAGGAGTGAAGAAGGTTGTCATCCCACCCAATTCAGAAGTCACTATCACTGGCTACATTGACAAGGCACTTCCTTACCGCAATACATGTGCTATATTGCAAAGTACTAGCCGTTCAGCTATTCCTGATGATCTTGACATCTCACCCAGCTTGATAACATACAGAGAGAGAGGATTTGTAGATGTCAACATTTCAAATATTACCACAAGAACGGTAGTCATTCAACCCCGTGCCCTTCTGTGTGAGATACAGCCTGTTGATGTTGAAGAACAGCCTTCTATGACAGATGTGTCACAGGACAAGGATTCACTCTTTAATAGGATGGATATAGAAACTTCACAGATCTCAGGCACTCAATGCGAAGAGGGATTAAGGGTTATCTCGGACTACTTGGACATATTCTCTCATGGTGATCTTGACCTTGGACACACTAGTGCAGTGAAACACCGGATAGATCTCATAGATGAACGACCCTTTAAACAGCGACATAGGAGAATTCCGCCATCTATGCATGCTGAAGTAAGAGATCATCTGCACCAACTATTAGCAAGTGGAGTCATCCGTCGATCACGATCACCTTGGTCTTCCAATGTGGTATTAGTACGCAAGAGAAATGGGACTCTAAGGATGTGCATTGATTTTAGACAGCTAAATCAGAGGACTATTAAGGATTCCTACACTCTCCCCAGGATTGAGGAGATGTTTGATACACTTAGAGGATCAAAATTCTACTCCACAATGGACATGAAGAGCGGATACCACCATGTTGACTTAGAAGAACATCACAAGGAGAGAACTGCTTTCTCCGTAGGACCCCTCGGATTCTTTGAATTCAACCGGATGCCCTTTGGTTTGTGCAACAGTCCCGCCACTTATCAGCGCCTCATGAATGACTGTTTTGAAGATATGCACTTAAAGATATGCCTTATCTACATGGATGACGTCATTGTCTTTGCGGATACCTTTGAAGAACATCTGGACAGGCTAACGAAGGTGTTTAAGAGGCTCCGAGATTGCGGATTCAAGCTCGCTCCCGATAAGTGCAGCTTCTTCAAAGACAAGATCAAGTTCTTAGGACATATTGTATCAGGACAAGGCATTGAACCAGATCCGGCTAAAGTTGAAAAGATAAAGACATGGCCCCAACCAAAGAATCCAGCAGAGGTTAGACAGTTTCTTGGATTTGCAGGGTATTACCGGAGATTTGTGAAGAACTTTGCTGCAATCACCAAGCCCCTGTCAAGTCTTATGCCTCCACCAACACAGACAAAGAGAACACGGAAGAAAGTTGCCCAACAGCCGTGGATATGGGGATCTGAGCAAGAGAAGGCATTCCATCACTTAAAACAGCTTCTGGTTTCGCCTCCTATTCTAGCCTCACGCAGACTACAGCCTACCATTTGAGCTCCATACAGATGCTAGTACACATGGACTGGGCTGTCCTCTATCAAGAGCAGGATGGAAAAAAGCGAGTTATTGCATATGCCAGTAGAGGACTAAACAAAGCTGAGAAGAACTACTCTGCACATAGTCTTGAGTTCCTGGCTTTGAAGTGGGCAATTACTGAAAAGTTCAACGATTACCTCTATGGTACCAAGTTCAGAGTTTATACAGATAACAATCCGTTGACTTATATTCTAACCTCAGCTAAACTTGACGCAACAGGACATAGATGGTTAGCATCCTTGGCAGCCTATGATTTTGACATCAAGTACCGGTCTGGAATCAACAATGCAGATGCAGATGATATGTCACGTCTACCAGACCTAGAGACAAGTGGAGGACATGAGCATATGCCAGGCGACTCTGTAAAGGCTGTGTGCAACGTCATTCATACCCAACCTTATGTTACTCTGACGTTACTCTGGAAGAGAACCTAGACATTATTGGTGTCCCTTTAGCCAGGATGTCAAAACGGGACTGGAGAAAGGCACAGTACCAGGACCTTATCTTGAGACAATGGACAAGATGTTTACAATCCAACAACAAACCAAGGAGACACGATTTCTGTGATTCCCCTACTCATTCAGCATTGCTCAAGATCTCTAGGAATCTTCATCTTGAACATGGAATTTTGTACAGGGAAGTGTCAATTAACGGACAAACTAGACAGCAGTTAGTTTTACCAGCTGAGTACATCAAAGATGCATTAGAAGGCCTTCATGACAATATGGGTCATCCAGGACGAGACCGAACTTTGTCTCTCTTGAGAGACAGATTCTTCTGGCCAGGCATGTCTAAAGATGTTGATGAATGGATTACAAATTGCAGGAGATGCATCTGCCGGAAGACTCCCACCAACCAGAGAGCTCCACTCATAGGAATTGAAACAACTCAGCCACTAGAGTTAGTATCCATGGATTTCTTGGACCTTGAACCATGCAAAGGAGGGAAACACTGTGTGTTAGTTGTCACGGATCACTTCACCAGATATGCACAGGCATATGTCACCAGGCAGTAATTCCGGGTGGCTGCACATCCATACTACAACCACTGGATGTTTCCCTGAACAAGCCGTTCAAGGTGAACGTAAGGGAAAAGTGGTCGGAATGGATGATCAACGGTGAGCACACTTTCACCAAGTCCAACGCAATGAGGAAGGCTCCACTCCACGGAGTTGCAAGATGGGTCAGGGACTCGTGGAACGAACTTCCCACCTTGATGGTAAAGAATTCGTTTTTGAAATGTGGCATATCAAATGCGATGGACGGATCCGAGGACGATGCTTTGTTTTCGGAATTTCTGACGTCCAAAAACCGAAAAGAAGAAGACGATGTGTTAACTTGTGACAATCTGGATGATTACTGGACAGAACTGATACAGTGACCAATTTGATTAGCGTGGACAGAACTGGCTGGCGTCAGTGACAGTGGACTATTTTTCTTATTGTCAATTTGATGGGTTAAATAATATATTTTGAAAGGTTTACGGCCAATGACTTCAGTTTTTATTTACCGATGGTACTTTTTCTCTTGGGTTCACATTTCCATACTCACCGATTTCACAAAATGGCGTCTCGTTGTTGATGCAAGCAGTGATCGTCGGGATATAAAAAGGAACACAAACACATGTTGCCACAATACACCGGTAATCTTTATGTAATATTCTCACCAACACTTACGCTGTATATCCACTTTCCAAATGGTGTCTCGCTGTTGATGCAAGCAGTGATCGTTAAAAAAAGGTAAACAAACACCGGTAATCTTTATGTAATATTCTCACCAACACTTACGCTGTATATCCACTTTCCAAATGGTGTCTCGTTGTTGATGCAAGCAGTGATCGTTAAAAAAGGTAAACAAACACCGATAATCTTTATTATGTAATATTCTCGTAATGGTGTCTCGTCGTTGATGGAACATATTTACTGGGTACTCTGGTCTCTGTTGGCCGCGACCCATCGCAGGGGGTCGGCCTATCCATGAGAGATATGATTTTGACACTGATTTTGAGGGTCAAGTTTGGGGGTCGGCTTATACATGGGATCGGCTTATAGACGGTCATATACGGTAGTGATTGTATTGATTATATATGATTGTAGTACTTATTGCTAAGCCTCACATGTATCGGCCCATGAAGTATTGTAGCGTATTTTGATGCAATGTATTTATTCTTTTACAGGGCTTTCTTCAGTTATTGCCATTAAACTGACATCTACGAAAACTATTTGCCTTTGTGGTATATACCAAACCACTCCGGTTACATTCATACACTGTTCTAGATTCTTACACTGTTTTAGATTCTTACACTGTTCTAGATTCATACACTGTTTTAGATTCTTACACTGTTCTAGATTCATACACTGTTTTAGATTCTTACACTGTTTTAGATTCATACACTGTTCTAGATTCATACACTGTTCTAGATTCTTACACTGTTTTAGATTCTTACACTGTTCTAGATTCATACACTGTTTTAGATTCTCACACTGTTTTAGATATTCACACTGTTTTAGATTCTTACACTGTTTTAGATTCTTACACTGCTTTAGATTCATACACTGTTTTAGATTCATACACTGTTCTAGATTCATACACTGTTTTAGATATTCTTATACTGTTTGAGATTCTTACACTGTTTTAGATATTCATACACTGTTTTAGATTCTTACACTGTTTTAGATTCTTACACTGTTTTTAAGCTGATACTGGTGTTGCTGGTCTTGGAGTTTAGTCTTATACTGTCCTGGAGTTGATGCAGACTTTACACCTACTTCAAATATTTTCATGGCTACAGAACCCATTTGGGCTCTTCAAATCAGCTTGATGTTCCGTGGGCCAGGTCAGTATCTGCTATTGACATTTTAGAGAGACAATTTGCTTCATAACCTTCATATACTTTACATTATCATGCAAGGAGCAAAATACACCTCATAAAGCAAACTCATTTTCAAACTTAAGCTCTGAACATCATCTAACATTTCTGTATGACAGAAAAAATCAGACCTCACCTTCATCAGAACTGATTCAGTGGACATGATCTTGGGCGCTGTGTCTCTCTCAACGCACATCTGGACATCAATCACTGCAAGGAGAAATGTAAAGGTTACCATAAACAACAACTTGCAAACTTAAAACAAGAAGACAAAGTCATCAATATCCCCCGCAATGGCAAAATACTCTTCATGATTATGTCTGCGAGTTATGATTATGTCAAATATTTAGGTGTGTATATAGAAAAGTGGAAGGAGAGTATTGAAAGGTTTTTAAAGTTCTGCTCCAGAAAGGAGCACTATCACCAATTTCAGTCTATGTCAAACTTGTTGCCATGGAAATGCCAAAAATATTTTATTCAGAAATCCATAACTACCAAAAGGCACCAGTACACCACCAGATCTATGTATGTCCCAAGTTCGGTGAAGAAATAGTGAACGGTTTTAGAGTTCAGCTCCGGAAAAGAGCACAACCACCAATTTCAGGCTAAGTCGAACTTGTTGTCATGGAAATGTTAAAAATGTTTTATTCAGAATTCCAAAACTACCAAAAGGCACCAGTACACCACCAGATCTATCTATGTGACAAGTTTGGTGAAGAAATAGTGAACGGTTTTAGAGTTCAGCACCGGAAAAGAGCACTACCACCAATTTCAGTCGAACTTGTTGCCATGGAAAAGCCAAAAATATTTTACTCAGAATTCCAAAACTACCAAAAGGCACCAGTACACCACCAGACCAATCTATGTGCCAAGTTTGGTGAAGAAATAGTGAACGGTTTTAGAGTTCAGCTCCGGAAAAGTGTACAACCACCAATTTCAGGCCAAGTCAAACGTGTTGCCATGGAAATGCCAAAAATATTTTATTCAGAATTCCAAAACTACCAAATGCACCAGTACACCACCAGATCTATCTATGTGCCAAGTTTTGTGAAGAAATAGTGAACGGTTTTAGAGTTCAGCTCCGGAAAAGAGCACAACCACCAATTTCAGGCTAAGTCGAACTTGTTGCCATGGAAACGTTAAAAATGTTTTATTCAGAATTCCAAAACTACCAAAAGGCACCAGTACACCACCAGATCTATCTATGTGCCAAGTTTGGTGAAGAAATAGTGAACGGTTTTAGAGTTCTGCTCCGGAATAGACAAATGTGCATTTTAATACCCCCCGCGAACGCGTTGCGGGGGATAATAACTGCCCAATCCATCACATATCCAATAAAGCCCAATATTTCCAGACCCACAAATCCCTCCCCCCGAAGAAAACCCCCATGTTACCACACCCACAAATCTCCTCTCACCAGCCACTCCCTTTCAGCCAGCAGTGCCCTATACCTCTCCCATACAGCTGTACCCCTACCCCAACCTGCCAACCAGTGCCCCTCCCCTCTCCCATACAGCTGCTCACAACCCCCAATCCTTCCAACCAGTGCCCCATCCCTCTCCCATACTGCTGTTCCCCACGCCCTTCCTGCCAACCAGTACCCCATCCCTCTCCCATACAACTGCTCCCCACCCCATTCTGCCAACCAACGCCCTCCCTCTCCCATAGAACTACTCCCCCACCCCATCCTGCCAACCAGTGTCCCATCCCTCTCCCATACTGCTGTTCCCCGCCCATACAGCTGCTCCCCACTCCCATCCTGCCAACCAGTGCCCCATCCCTCTCCCCACCCCATCCTGCCCTCTCCCATACAGCTGCTCCCCACTCCCTTCCAGCCAACCAATGCCCCTCCCTCTCCCATACTGCTGCTCCCCCCCCCATCCTGCCAACCAGTGCCCCTCCCTCTCCCATACTGCTGCTCCCTTCCCCCATCCTGCCAACCAGTGCCCCTCCCCTCTCCCATTCAGCTGCTCCCCTCCACTATAACCTCATCCACCTCTCACCCTGATATTCATGCTTCATGATCTGTTCCTCCTCATGTCCGTGTTGGTAGACTGCTGCATCACTGGTCTGAACACCTGGCTGGGGAACATACAGCACACATGGAGTTAGTGAACCCATGTCTTAGTCCATATCATCAGAGTGCGTTGTTAGGGTATGTGTCATCAAATATACATGTCATTAGGGTACATGTCATCTTAGTGTGTTGCACTTTTGAAATAAAAAGTATTCCCTTGAGCTGAATCAAACATCTACGGACCAAAGAAAGAGGCGTAAACATGACCCCTGCCCAAAATGAGTATCGGGAACAACCTTCACCTTTTGTTTAGTGTCTCGCTCTCGTATCCGTGTAACAGGCCTCTTGGCTTCATCAGGAAACGTCTCCTTCATTTTCTTAATCAGAGCCTATAACACAAAAAAATATACTCATTAAACATTTTACATCAACAGTGTTCAGTTAATGTTACTGGGAAATTACTGACCTAATGACCTGATTATCTGGCCTGATTATCTAATGACTTGATAACCTACTGACCAGGTAAAATGCCTGATGACCTAGTGACCTGATAACCTACTGACCTTGTAACATGCCTGACGATCTAGTGACCTGCCAGCCTTCTGATCTGGTTAATTACTCACCTATTGATTTCGTAACATGCCTGACGATCTAGTGACCTGCCAACCTTCTGATCTGGTGAATTACTGACCTATTGATTTCGTAAAATGCCTGACGATCTAGTGACCTGCCAGCCTTCTGATCTGGTGAATTACTGACCTATTGATTTCGTAACATGCCTGACGATCTAGTGACCTGCCAGCCTTCTGATCTGGTGAATTACGGACCTATTGATTTGGTTACAAGCCTGACGATCTAGTGACCTGCCAGCCTTCTGATCTGGTGAATTACTGACCTAATGATTTGGTAACTTGCCTGACAATCTAGTGACCTGCCAGCCTTCTGATATGTTGAATTACTGACCTATTGATTTGGTAACATGCCTGACGATCTAGTGACCTGCCAACCTTCTAATCTGGTGAATTACTGACCTATTGATTTGGTAACATGCCTGATGATCTAGAGACCTGCCAACCTTCTGATCTGGTGAATTACTGACCTATTGACTTGGTAACATGCCTGCTGACCTGATGACCTAGTATTCTATTGGTCATCCTCACAAGTCCAGATGTGACATGTTGACTTACTTGCAGCTTTGGACTCCAATACATGGCATCCTCCACAGCCTGGATCAGCAGCGTCATGCAGTAGTTGTCGATGTTACGAAATGTCTCCACCACCTGTCATGTTTGCAAGCACAAATGAATGAAACTACTCATCATAGTGTGAGCTATAAACTGGCCAGCAACAGATTTGCAGACTGTACACAATAGATGGACTTTCCTACATACAAAAGGAAGTATCTTCTACAAGGCTGAACTGACAGGCCTAGAAATGGCACTTTCTTTCACACTCATGTGAACAAGGACACACAGACTCACAATTTGTCACAAAGAGGTAAGGAATCATCGGTTTCAACAAACCAAAATAAAAGCGGGTAGTTTCCGCAAATTCTGGACAATAAATGTAGCAGTAAGAAATGCTACTTATACAGTACACAAGTAACTTAACAACACGTGTAATTCAGTATGTTTTATCATTGTCTAAATACTGGATCCATGTTCACATCCTGGTGCTTGAGAATCACAATGACAGTCAAGATGTCACTCTGACAACGATAATGTTAAACAAGACAGTCGAGGTGTCACTCTGACAACCCTAATGTTAAACAAGACAGTCAAGGTGTCACTCTCACAACCCTAATGTTAAACAAGACAGTCAAGGTGTCACTCTTACAACCCTAATGTTAAACAAGACAGTCGAGATGTCACTCTGACAACCCTAATGTTAAACAAGACAGTCAAGGTGTCACTGTCACAACCCTAATGTTAAACAAGGCAGTCAAGGTGTCACTGTCACAGTCCTAATGTTAAACAAGACAGTCGAGATGTCACTCTGACAACCCTAATGTTAAACAAGACAGTCAAGGTGTCACTGTCACAACCCTAATGTTAAACAAGACAGTCAAGGTGTCACTCTCACAGTCCTAATGTTAAACAAGACAGTCGAGATGTCACTCTGACAACCCTAATGTTAAACAAGACAGTCAAGGTGTCACTGTCACAACCCTAATGTTAAACAAGGCAGTCAAGGTGTCACTCTCACAGTCCTAATGTTAAACAAGAGAGTCAAGGTGTCACTCTGACAACCCTAATGTTAAACAAGACAGTCAAGGTGTCACTGTCACAACCCTAATGTTAAACAAGACAGTCAAGGTGTCACTGTCACAACCCTAATGTTAAACAAGACAGTCAAGGTGTCACTCTGACAACCCTAATGTTAAACAAGACAGTCAAGGTGTCACTCTCACAACCCTAATGTTAAACAAGGCAGTCAAGGTGTCACTGTCACAACCCTAATGTTAAACAAGACAGTCAAGGTGTCACTCTGACAACCCTAATGTTAAACAAGACAGTCAAGGTGTCACTGTCACAACCCTAATGTTAAACAAGACAGTCAAGGTGTCACTGTCACAACCCTAATGTTAAACAAGACAGTCAAGGTGTCACTGTCACAACCCTAATGTTAAACAAGACAGTCAAGGTGTCACTCTGACAACCCTAATGTTAAACAAGACAGTCAAGGTGTCACTCTCACAACCCTAATGTTAAACAAGGCAGTCAAGGTGTCACTCTCACAACCCTAATGTTAAACAAGGCAGTCAAGGTGTCACTCTGACAACCCTAATGTTAAACAAGACAGTCGAGATGTCACTCTCACAACCCTAATGTTAAACAAGACAGTCAAGGTGTCACTCTCACAACCCTAATGTTAAACAAGAGAGTCAAGGTGTCACTCTGACAACCCTAATGTTAAACAAGACAGTCGAGTTGTCACTCTGACAACCCTAGTGTAAAACAAGACAGTCAAGATGTCACTCTTACAACCCTAATGTTAAACAAGACAGTCAAGGTGTCACTCTCACAACCCTAATGTTAAACAAGACAGTCAAGGTGTCACTCTTACAACCTTAATGTTAAACAAGAGAGTCAAGGTGTCACTCTTACAACCTTAATGTTAAACAAGACAGTCAAGGTGTCACTCTTACAACCTTAATGTTAAACAAGACAGTCGAGGTGTCACTCTGACAACCCTAATTTTAAACAAGACAGTCGAGGTGTCACTCTGACAACCCTAGTGTTAAACAAGACAGTCAAGGTGTCACTCTGAAACCCTAATGTTAAACAAGAGAGTCAAGGTGTCACTCTTACAACCTTAATGTTAAACAAGACAATTGAGGTGTCACTCTGACAACCCTAATGTTAAACAAGACAGTCAAGGTGTCACTCTTACAACCTTAATGTTAAACAAGACAGTCAAGGTTTCACTCTGACAACCCTAATGTTAAACGAGACAGTGGAGATGTCACTCTCACAACCCCAATGTTAAACAAGAGAGTCAAGGTGTCACTCTGACAACCCTAATGTTAAACAAGACAGTCAAGGTGTCACTCTGACAACCCTAATGCTAAACAAGACAGTCGAGGTGTCACTCTGACAACCCTAGTGTTAAACAAGACAGTCAAGGTGTCACTCTCACAACCCTAATGTTAAACAAAAAGTCAAGGTGTCACTCTGACAACCCTAATGTTAAACAAGACAGTCAAGGTGTCACTCTGACAACCCTTATGTTAAACAAGACAGTCAAGGTGTCACTCTCACACCCCTAATGTTAAACAAGACAGTCAAGGTGTCACTCTCACAACCCTGCGATACAGTGACCCAGTTACCTGCTGGAGGTGAGATGTGGAGCCAAACTCGAAATCATCTGATGCCAGGAGGTCCTCGACTTGACCGGACATAGCCTGGCCGGCAGTGGTCAAGTCACTGGTCCTCTCCTGTCTGTAATGGAGCAGACACTGGGAGTTAACCAACATTCCCAACTAATGGACCAAATAGTGATGTCTTTTAGAGGTCCTCTGACCTCTACAAAGGTAGACATTGATTACAACTGTGAGAGAAAAACTTGGAAATGTTAGCTTTCCCTTCGGAAGTTTTGCTGACATTTGCTGCAAGTTCGGGTCAAAATACATAGACCAATGTGGAACAGTCAGTGTGTGGTACAACTTGTTGATTAACAAAAACTTGGACAGAATGGTGGGAAACATTTCCAGCAAGATATTGCCATTTTTTATGGGAACAGGGAGATCTCTGAGGCCTTGATGGGACCAGGGAGATCTCTGAGGGCTTGATGGGACCAGGGAGATCTCTGAGGGCTTGATGGGACCAGGGAGATCTCTGAGGGCTTGATGGTACCAGGGAGATGTCTGAGGCCTTGATGGGTCCTGGGAGATGTCTGAGGGCTTGATGGTACCAGGGAGATCTCTGAGGGCTTGATGGGACCAGGGAGATGTCTGAGGCCTTGATGGGACCAGGGAGATCTCTGAGGCCTTGATGGGACCCGGGAGATCTCTGAGGCCTTGATGGTACCAGGGAGATCTCTGAGACCTTGATGGTACCAGAGAGATCTCTGAGGCCTTGATGGTACCAGGGAGATCTCTGACGCCTTGATGGTACCCGGGAGATCTCTGAGGCCTTGATGGGACCAGGGAGATCTCTGAGGGCTTGATGGTACCAGGGAGATCTCTGAGGGCTTGATGGTACCAGAGAGATCTCTGAGGGCTTGATGGGACCTGGGAGATGTCTGAGGCCTTGATTGGAGGGAGATCTCTGAGGCCTTGATGTGACCTGGGAGATGTCTGAGGCCTTGATGGGACCAGGGAGATCTCTGAGGCCTTGATTGGACCAGGGAGATCTCTGAGGCCTTGATGGGACCAGGGAGATCTTTGAGGCCTTGATGGGACCAGGGAGATCTCTGAGGCCTTGATGGGACCAGGGAAATCTCTGAGGCCTTGATGGGACCTGGGAGATGTCTGAGGCCTTGATGGGACCTGGGAGATGTCTGAGGCCTTGATGGGACCTGGGAGATGTCTGAGGCCTTGATGGGACCTGGGAGATGTCTGAGGCCTTGATGGGACCTGGGAGATCTCTGAGGCCTTGATGGGACCAGGGAGATCTCTGAGGGCTTGATGGTACCAGAGAGATCTCTGAGGGCTTGATGGGATCAGGGAGATGTCTGAGGCCTTGATTGGAGGGAGATCTCTGAGGCCTTGATCGGACCTGGGAGATGTCTGAGGCCTTGATGGGACCAGGGAGATCTCTGAGGCCTTGATTGGACCTGGGAGATGTCTGAGGCCTTGATGGGACCAGGGAGATGTCTGAGGCCTTGATGGGACCTGGGAGATGTCTGAGGCCTTGATGGGACCTGGGAGATCTCTGAGGCCTTGATGGGACCAGGGAGATCTCTGAGGCCTTGATGGGACCTGGGAGATGTCTGAGGCCTTGATGGGACCAGGGAGATATCTGAGGCCTTGATGGGACCAGGGAGATCTCTGAGGCCTTGATGGGACCTGGGAGATGTCTGAGGCCTTGATGGGACCTGGGAGATGTCTGAGGCCTTGATGGGACCTGGGAGATGTCTGAGGCCTTGATGGGACCTGGGAGATGTCTGAGGCCTTGATGGGACCTGGGAGATCTCTGAGGCCTTGATGGGACCAGGGAGATGTCTGAGGCCTTGAAGGGACCAGGGAGATGTCTGAGGCCTTGATCGGACCTGGGAGATGTCTGAGGCCTTGATGGGACCTGGGAGATGTCTGAGGCCTTGATGGGACCAGGGAGATCTCTGAGGCCTTGATGGGACCTGGGAGATGTCTGAGGCCTTGATGGGACCAGGGAGATCTCTGAGGCCTTGATGGGACCAGGGAGATCTCTGAGGCCTTGATGGCTACTTGAAACGGATCTCTCGATGTCGGAACTGTCAGTGCCACCGACTATATGATCAACTATTGTACAATAACCGACACATTCAGCATCACATTGAACAGCTCATGTGTCAGTTTCTGTAGCGCCCCATGACTGCCACAAGAGAACACTCCTCCAACACTTCTACACATAGAGTAAACTGATATATTTTCACTATTTTTACACAATCTTAAACATTTGAGGCAGGAATTTTCTTAGGAGTGACAAGTTTTTATGGAACTTTCTTTGTTTTATATATTTCATTAATGACAAACTGGTCATTGTTAACCTCTACACTGACTGTTCAAGGTCGGTGTGTTCATTGACTGTTCAAGGTCTGTGTGGACATTGACTGTTCAAGGTCTGTGTGTACACTGACTGTTCAAGGTCGGTGTGTTCATTGACTGTTCAAGGTCTGTGTGTACATTGACTGTTCAAGGTCTGTGTGTACACTGACTGTTCAAGGTCTGTGTATTCATTGACTGTTCAAGGTCGGTGTGTACATTGACTGTTCAAGGTCTGTGTGTACATTGACTGTTCAAGATCTGTGTGTACAGTGACTGTTCAAGGTCTGTGTATTCATTGACTGTTCAAGGTCGGTGTGTACATTGACTGTTCAAGGTCTGTGTTTACACTGACTGTTCAAGGTCTGTGTGTACATTGACTGTAGGTCTGTGTGAACACTGACTGTTGAAGGTTTGTGTGTTCATTGACTGTAGGCCTGTGTGTTCATTGACTGTTCAAGGTCTGTGTGTTCATTGACTGTTCAAGGTCTGTGTGTTCATTGACTGTTCAAGGTCTGTGTGTACACTGACTGACCAAGGTCTGTGTGTACACTGACTGTAGGCCTGTGTGTACATTGACTGTTCAAGGTCTGTGTGTACATTGACAGTAGGCCTGTGTGTACATTGACTGTTCAAGGTCTGTGTGTACATTGACTGTTCAAGGTCTGTGTGTTCATTGACTGTTCAAGGTATGTGTGTTCATTGACTGTTCAGGCCTGTGTGTACACTGACTGTTCAAGGTCTGTGTGTACAGTGACTGTAGGTCTGTGTGTACATTGACTCTTCAAGGTCTGTGTGTACACTGACTGTTCAAGGTATGTGTGTTCATTGACTGTAGGCCTGTGTGTACACTGACTGTTGAAGGTCTGTGTGTACATTAACTGTAGGCCTGTGTGTACATTGACTGTTCAAGGTCTGTGTGTACAGTGACTGTTCAAGGTCTGTGTGTTCATTGACTGTAGGCCTGTGTGTACACTGACTGTTGAAGGTCTGTGTGTTTATTGACTGTAGGCCTGTGTGTACACTGACTGTTCAAGGTCTGTGTGTACATTGACTGTAGGTCTATGTGTACATTGACTGTTCAAGGTCTGTGTGTACATTGACTGTAGGCCTGTGTGTACACTGACTGTTCAAGGTCTGTGTGTACATTGACTAGGCCTGTGTGTACATTGTCTGTTCAAGGTCTGTGTGTACACTGACTGTTCAAGGTCGGTGTGTACATTGACTGTTCAAGGTCTGTGTGTACACTGACTGTTCAAGGTCTGTGTGTACATTGACTGTAGGTCTCTGTGAACACTGACTGTTGAAGGTTTGTGTGTTCATTGACTGTAGGCCTGTGTGTACATTGACTGTTCAAGGTCTGTGTATTCATTGACTGTTCAAGGCCTGTCTGTACATTGACTGTTCAAGGTCGGTGTGTTCATTGACTGTTCATGGTCTGTGTGTACATTGACTGTTCAAGGTCTGTGTGTACACTGACTGTTCAAGGTCTGTGTATTCATTGACTGTTCAAGGCCTGTCTGTACATTGACTGTTCAAGGTCGGTGTGTTCATTGACTGTTCATGGTCTGTGTGTACATTGACTGTTCAAGGTCTGTGTGTACACTGACTGTTCAAGGTCTGTGTGTACATTGACTGTAGGTCTGTGTGAACACTGACTGTTGAAGGTTTGTGTGTTCATTGACTGTAGGCCTGTGTGTACATTGACTGTTCAAGGTCTGTGTGTTCATTGACTGTTCAAGGTCTGTGTGTACATTGACTGTTCAAGGTCTGTGTGTACATTGACTGTAGGCCTGTGTGTACACTGACTTTTCAAGGTCTGTGTGTACATTGACTGTAGGCCTGTGTGTACACTGACTGCTCAAGGTCTGTGTGTACATTGACTGTAGGCCTGTGTGTACATTGACTGTTCAAGGTCTGTGTGTACACTGACTGTTCAAGGTATGTGTGTTCATTGACTGTAGGCCTGTGTGTACATTGACTGTTCAAGGTCTGTGTGTTCATTGACTGTTCAAGGTATGTGTGTTCATTGACTGTAGGCCTGTGTGTACACTGACTGTTCAAGGTCTGTGTGTACACTGACTGTAGGTCTGTGTGTACATTGACTCTTCAAGGTCTGTGTGTACACTGACTGTTCAAGGTCTGTGTGTTCATTGACTGTAGGCCTGTGTGTACACTGACTGTTGAAGGTCTGTGTGTACATTAACTGTAGGCCTGTGTGTACATTGACTGTTCAAGGTCTGTGTGTACAGTGACTGTTCAAGGTCTGTGTGTTCATTGACTGTAGGCCTGTGTGTACACTGACTGTTGAAGGTCTGTGTGTTCATTGACTGTAGGCCTGTGTGTACACTGACTGTTCAAGGTCTGTGTGTACATTGACTGTAGGTCTATGTGTACATTGACTGTTCAAGGTCTGTGTGTACATTGACTGTAGGCCTGTGTGTACACCGACTGTTCAAGGTCTGTGTGTACATTGACTGTAGGCCTGTGTGTACATTGACTGTTCAAGGTATGTGTGGACACTGACTGTTCAAGGTCTGTGTGTTCATTGACTGTAGGCCTGTGTGTACACTGACTCTTCAAGGTCTGTGTGTACATTGACTGTGGAAGGCCTGTGTGTACATTGAGTGTTCAAGGCCTGTGTGTACACTGACTGTTCAAGGTCTGTGTGTACATTGACTGTAGGCCTGTGTGTACACTGACTGTTGAAGGTTTGTGTGTTCATTGACTGTAGTCCTGTGTGTACACTGACTGTTGAAGGTCTGTGTGTTCATTGACTGTTGGCCTGTGTGTACATTGACATGTACGTTCTTTGGACTATGTATATGATGTAGTAGTACTTCCACAAACAGATATCACAGTGATCCTTTACCTATGACATTGTCAGCATATTTTACTTGGATGACAATTCTGTATTCCAGTTTTGTGTTGGAAGACAACATCCTGTCTATACTCACAGACTATTAGCCAGCATCTCTTCCACATCTCGCTTGAACTCAGCCAAGAGTTGACGGAGGAAATGAACGTTGTCAGACTGAATAAAAAACAAACTTATGGGCTACACAGTTACTAAGATGCTACTTGTGTGCTACACAGTTACTAAGATGCTACTGATGTGCTACACAGTTACTAAGATCATACTTATGTGCCACACAGTTACTAAGATGATATTTATGTTCTACAAAAGTTATTAAGATGTTACTTGTGTGCTACACAGTTACTAAGATGCTACCTATGTGCTACACAGTTACCAGGATACTACTTATGTGCTACACAGTTACCAGGATACTACTTATGTGCTACAGTTACTAAGATGCTACTTATGTGCTACATAGTTACTAAGATGCTACTTATGTGCTACATAGTTACTAATATGCTACTTATGTGCTACATAGTTACTAATATGCTACTTATGTGCTACATAGTTACTAATATGCTACTTATGTGCTACATAGTTACTAATATGCTACTTATGTGCTACATAGTTACTAATATGCTACTTATGTGCTACATAGTTACTAATATGCTACTTATGTGCTACATAGTTACTAATATGCTACTTATGTGCTACATAGTTACTAATATGCTACTTATGTGCTACATAGTTACTAATATGCTACTTATGTGCTACATAGTTACTAATATGCTACTTATGTGCTACATAGTTACTAATATGCTACTTATGTGCTACATAGTTACTAAGATGCTACTTATGTGCTACATAGTTACTAATATGCTACTTATGTGCTACATAGTTACTAATATGCTACTTATGTGCTACATAGTTACTAATATGCTACTTATGTGCTACATAGTTACTAATATGCTACTTATGTGCTACATAGTTACTAATATGCTACTTATGTGCTACACAGTTACTAAGATACTACTTATGTGCTACACAGTTACTAAGATGCTATATTTGAGGATGTTAACACAATGGTACACTTTGACTTACACCTGCAAAACCTCGGATGAGTGCTCGGACAGCCTTGTTGTGTTCCATGAGTTGATGTAGACGGCCTGGGGTGCCGTGCAGGACACAGTACACTTCGGGGAGGAGGTCCTTGTCATACGATATCCTACAATGTCGGAGACTCACAGTGTGACTGAGTGAGCTAAGTGAGGGAAAACTGCCCCTCATCTTCAACACAATGAAATGTATTAGGAAGCAACTGTTGTGTAATGGGAAGCCATTGTTGTGCATTGGAAGCCACTGTTGTGTATTGGGAAGCCATTGTTGTGCATTGGAAGCCACTGTTTTGCATTGGGAATTCACTGTTGTGCATTGGGAATTCACTGTTGTGTATTGGAAACGATTGTTGCGTATTGGGAAGCCATTGTTGTGTATTGGGAAATCACGGTTGTGTATTGGGAAGCCATAGTTGCGTATTCGGAAGGCATTGTTGTGTATTGGGAAGCCATTGTTGTACATTGGGAAGCCACTGTTCTGTATTGGGAAGCCACTGTTGTGTATTGGGAAGCCATTGTTGTACATTGGGAAGCCATTGTTGTGTATTGGGAAGCCACTGTTGTGTATTGGGAAGCCACTGTTGTGCATTAGGAAATCACTGTTGTGCATTGGGAATTCACTGTTGTGCATTGGGAATTCACTGTTGTGTATTGGGAAGCCATTGTTGTGTATTGGGAAGCCATTGTTGTGTATTGGAAAGACACTGTTGTGTATTGGGAAGCCATTGTTGTGTATTGGAAAGACACTGTTGTGTATTGGGAAGCCATTGTTGTATATTCGGAAGCCATTGTTGTATATTCGGAAGCCATTGTTGTGCATTGGAAAGCCACTGTTGTGTATTGGGAAGCCATTGTTGTGCATTGGGAAGCCACTGTTGTGTATTGGGAAGCCATTTTTGTGTATTGGGAAGCCACCGTTGTGTGTTGAATGGTAAATTCTCAGAGCTCACCTGTCTGTGAGCACGAGGATGATGAATTCATTGAGCTCACCTGTCTGTGAGGACGAGGATGATGATGTTGAACAGACTGTCAAACAGCTCGCCGTAGGGGTGGAACTTGGACACATTCTTCTGTAGATGTGCCCTGACATAGAAAGAAAGAATAACATTTAACACTTATCAGAGGGGTACACAAAGTCCGGAGTCTAGACTACCAGTTGTCCGACTTCCATTTTTGTGGAAGCCGTGGTGGCTGAGCAGTCTAGGCGTCTGACTTTGTGTGCTGGCGATTAGGTGCCTGACTCTGAGGGTGTGGGTTCGAATCCCGGATGGGACTCAACCCAACAAAAGTACTAGAATCTGTACTTTACTAAGAAAGTGTAATCCCAAATATAACAAATGTTACATTTGACCATTTCTAAAATGGCATTGTGTATTTCATTTTAGAAGTTGATGACTAATAAGAAAGGTGTTATACTTTATGGATGACTACTATCGATGACATGTCCATATAGATTCTTATACCGCTGACAAGCAACAGTGAGGTACTACCATCTAACAGGGATTAATTGAGACAACCTGAACAACAAGCCAACAGTTCACGACATATGCTATATTTGGGAGTACATATTCTCGGTCAAGTACAGATTCTAGTACTTTTGATGGGTTGAGTCCCATCTGGGATTCGAACCCACACCCTCAGAGTCAGGCACCTAATCGCCAGCACACAAAGTCAGACGCCTAGACCGCTCAGCCACCACAGCTTCCACAAAAATGGAAGTTGGCCAACTGGTAGTCCAGATCATGGACTTTGTGTACCCCTCTGACAAGGTGTAAATTGGCATGGCTCACGTTTCGGCTGAAAGTTAGGAATACACACACAATGCCATTTAGAAAGTGGTCAAATGTAACACAACACCATGATCACCACTACCGCTGGCTATATCCCAGCTAAACCATATCCTACCCAGATTGTGAGTGGAAGACAGTGCCAACACCTACTTGAAAGGAGTCACAATCTGCCATGCAAAAGGTCCAAAACCAGGATCTTCTCCAAGTCGGAATCCATCGATGCGTATTTTCCGAGGTCGGAAATGCTCCAGCCGTCCATGGACATGTATGTGAATACTCTGTCGGTCAGTCTCCACTTGGGAAGTCCCTTGGCCTGTGCGTCGAGTGGCCTTTGACCCAGGTCGAGCTGGAAAAAATGTGACATCATTGTTTGTTTGTTCCTTGTTACACACAAGCCACAAGTCCAGCTGTACGAGGAGATTCAGACAACCCACAGCTGTACCGCTTACATGTGGAACAGATATAGATCTAGATGCGTGTATCTTAGTGTTCTGGATGTTGACACTGTGGGGAGAAGATGAAGACAACCCACAGCTGTAGCGCTAACATGTGGAACAGATGTAGATCTACCTGACTGTATCTTAGTGTTCTGGATGTTGACACTGTGGGGAGAAGATGGTGATGTAGATCTACCTGACTGTATCTTAGTGTTCTGGATGTTGACACTGTGGGGAGAAGATGGTGATGTAGATCTACCTGACTGTATCTTAGTGTTCTGGATGTCAACACTGTGGGGAGAAGATGGTGATGTAGATCTACCTGACTGTATCTTAGTGTTCTGGATGTCAACACTGTGGGGAGAAGATGGTGATGTAGATCTACCTGACTGTATCTTAGTGTTCTGGATGTTGACATTGTGGGGAGAAGATGGTGATGTAGATCTACCTGACTGTATCTTAGTGTTCTGGATGTTGACATTGTGTAAGGAGAAGATGGTGATGTAGATCTACCTGACTGTATCTTAGTGTTCTGGATATCAACACTGTGGGGAGAAGATGGTGATGTAGATCTACCTGACTGTATCTTAGTGTTCTGGATGTCGACATTGTGGGGAGAAGATGGTGATGTAGATCTACCTGACTGTATCTTAGTGTTCTGGATGTTGACATTGTGGGGAGAAGATGGTGATGTAGATCTACCTGACTGTATCTTAGTGTTCTGGATGTCCACATTGTGGGGAGAAGATGGTGATGTAGATCTACCTGACTGTATCTTAGTGTTCTGGATGTTGACACTGTGGGGAGAAGATGGTGATGTAGATCTACCTGACTGTATCTTAGTGTTCTGGATGTTGACACTGTGGGGAGAAGATGGTGATGTAGATCTACCTGACTGTATCTTAGTGTTCTGGATGTTGACACTGTGGGGAGAAGATGGTGATGTAGATCTACCTGACTGTATCTTAGTGTTCTGGATGTTGACACTGTGGGGAGAAGATGGTGATGTAGATCTACCTGACTGTATCTTAGTGTTCTGGATGTCAACACTGTGGGGAGAAGATGGTGATGTAGATCTACCTGACTGTATCTTAGTGTTCTGGATGTTGACACTGTGTGGAGAAGATGGTGATGTAGATCTACCTGACTGTATCTTAGTGTTCTGGATGTTGACATTGTGGGGAGAAGATGGTGATGTAGATCTACCTGACTGTATCTTAGTGTTCTGGATGTCGACACTGTGGGGAGAAGATGGTGATGTAGATCTACCTGACTGTATCTTAGTGTTCTGGATGTCGACATTGTGGGGAGAAGATGGTGATGTAGATCTACCTGACTGTATCTTAGTGTTCTGGATGTTGACACCTGTGGGGAGAGAAGATGGTGATGTAGATCTACCTGACTGTATCTTAGTGTTCTGGATGTTGACACTGTGGGGAGAAGATGGTGATGTAGATCTACCTGACTGTATCTTAGTGTTCTGGATGTTGACATTGTGGGGAGAAGATGGTGATGTAGATCTACCTGACTGTATCTTAGTGTTCTGGATGTTGACATTGTGGGGAGAAGATGGTGATGTAGATCTACCTGACTGTATCTTAGTGTTCTGGATGTCGACACTGTGGGAGAAGATGGTGATGTAGATCTACCTGACTGTATCTTAGTGTTCTGGATATCAACACTGTGGGGAGAAGATGGTGATGTAGATCTACCTGACTGTATCTTAGTGTTCTGGATGTCGACATTGTGGGGAGAAGATGGTGATGTAGATCTACCTGACTGTATCTTAGTGTTCTGGATGTCGACACTGTGGGGAGAAGATGGTGATGTAGATCTACCTGACTGTATCTTAGTGTTCTGGATGTTGACACTGTGGGGAGAAGATGGTGATGTAGATCTACCTGACTGTATCTTAGTGTTCTGGATGTATCTTAGTGTTCTGACATTGTGGGGAGAAGATGGTGATGTAGATCTACCTGACTGTATCTTAGTGTTCTGGATGTTGACACTGTGTGGGAGAAGATGGTGATGTAGATCTACCTGACTGTATCTTAGTGTTCTGGATGTTGACATTGTGGGGAGAAGATGGTGATGTAGATCTACCTGACTGTATCTTAGTGTTCTGGATGTTGACACTGTGGGGAGAAGATGGTGATGTAGATCTACCTGACTGTATCTTAGTGTTCTGGATATCAACACTGTGGGGAGAAGATGGTGATGTAGATCTACCTGACTGTATCTTAGTGTTCTGGATGTCAACACTGTGGGAGAAGATGGTGATGTAGATCTACCTGACTGTATCTTAGTGTTCTGGATGTTGACACTGTGGGGAGAAGATGGTGATGTAGATCTACCTGACTGTATCTTAGTGTTCTGGATGTTGACATTGTGGGGAGAAGATGGTGATGTAGATCTACCTGACTGTATCTTAGTGTTCTGGATGTTGACACTGTGGGGAGAAGATGGTGATGTAGATCTACCTGACTGTATCTTAGTGTTCTGGATATCAACACTGTGGGGAGAAGATGGTGATGTAGATCTACCTCTTAGTGTTCTGGATGTTGACACTGTGGGGAGAAGATGGTGATGTAGATCTACCTGACTGTATCTTAGTGTTCTGGATGTCAACATTGTGGGGAGAAGATGGTGATGTAGATCTACCTGACTGTATCTTAGTGTTCTGGATGTCGACACTGTGGGGAGAAGATGGTGATGTAGATCTACCTGACTGTATCTTAGTGTTCTGGATGTCGACATTGTGGGGAGAAGATGGTGATGTAGATCTACCTGACTGTATCTTAGTGTTCTGGATGGGGAGAAGATGGTGATGTAGGCCTACCTGACTGTATCTTAGTGTTCTGGATGTCCACATTGTGGGGGGAAGATGGTGATGTAGATCTACCTGACTGTATCTTAGTGTTCTGGATGTCGACACTGTGGGGAGAAGATGGTGATGTAGATCTACCTGACTGTATCTTAGTGTTCTGGATGTCGACATTGTGGGGAGAAGATGGTGATGTAGATCTACCTGACTGTATCTTAGTGTTCTGGATGTTGACACTGTGGGGAGAAGATGGTGATGTAGATCTACCTGACTGTATCTTAGTGTTCTGGATGTTGACACTGTGGGGAGAAGATGGTGATGTAGATCTACCTGACTGTATCTTAGTGTTCTGGATGTTGACACTGTGTGGGAGAAGATGGTGATGTAGATCTACCTGACTGTATCTTAGTGTTCTGGATGTCGACATTGTGGGAGAAGAGAAGATGGTGATGTAGATCTACCTGACTGTATCTTATCTTAGTGTTCTGGATGTCGACACTGTGGGGAGAAGATGGTGATGTAGATCTACCTGGACTGTATCTTAGTGTTCTGGATGTCCTGACATCTGTGGGATGAGAAGATGGTGATGTAGATCTACCTGACTGTATCTTAGTGTTCTGGATGTCGACACTGTGGGGAGAAGATGGTGATGTAGATCTACCTGACTGTATCTTAGTGTTCTGGATGTTGACACTGTGGGGGAGAAGATGGTGATGTAGATCTACCTGACTGTATCTTAGTGTTCTGGATGTTGACATTGTGGGAGAAAGATGGTGATGTAGATCTACCTGACTGTATCTTAGTGTTCTGGATGTCGACACTGTGGGGAGAAGATGGTGATGTAGATCTACCTGACTGTATCTTAGTGTTCTGGATGTTGACACTGTGGGGAGAAGATGGTGATGTAGATCTACCTGACTGTATCTTAGTGTTCTGGATGTTGACACTGCTGGGGAGAAGATGGTGATGTAGATCTACCTGACTGTATCTTAGTGTTCTGGATGTTCAGACTGCAATCAATACATAATCATGATATGGTTTGTATGTTTTGTATGTTTTGACATATTTTAAGTAATATCACTGTGTGATAATTTCATTCAGTTTCCTACAAGTTGAGAGTCAAATTGACAGTTGCATAACATCCAATCCGAGTCCTTAGGCAGATCATTCTTCTACACTTCATCCATTCAGAGAATCAGTGACACACAACATCTTACCCTTCTTCACGAATCTCATCCACAACCTCGATGAAGTTCAGACCATACTGCTTCTGTCCACGCATGTAGGTCGACATGCCCGGATCCAGTTTAAACACACACTGCAATGAAAGCTGATTGGTCTGCAGTGACATACACATAGTGAGGGTGTCAACCCATCAGCAGCAGCTATTGTCTTCTATTTCATAACATTTATTGACATGACCTCTAATGGTGATATAACATTTATTGACATGACCTCTAATGGTGATATAACATTTACTGACATGACCTCTAATGGTGATATAACATTTATTGACATGACCTCTAATGGTGATATTTAACATATCCTCGTACGCAAGAGTGAAAAGAGTTTTTGCAAATTTCGGCGAATATAGGTGGAACACTTAGACTCTTTAATTAGGCCTCCCTTCAAATGTAAAAATCACCAATTGGTACTATACCAAGAGTTGCCTCCCTGCCCTCATGAACGGTGTCGCCACCCTCTGGCCTACATAGTCACTCCTGATTTTATAGAGCTCAACACTTGAATCTCTTACAGGGAAAATCCAAAGTGTTATGTGGGGAGGATGAGGGTTATTATGAGTCAGGATAAGTATAGTGAACATCAATTTTACTCTAAAAAAATTAGTTATTTTTCCCTATCCGACTCATGCCTTTTGTTTGTATGAATCCTAATGCAGTATGAGGTGGAGAAAACAGAATACTTGGATTTATAAATTAGTGGATTTATATAGATATAACTGTAATAACCTCTAAACGGAACTTCAGAAGGCACATTGTGACTTAGATATTTCATTATAAAACCATAGGGTTTATATATTGCCATACTCGGGGTATTACAATAATAATATACTATGATATTATCAAATAAAGATATAAAGCTCTGATAGAGAAGCTATACAACTGAACATGCACTATCAGTAAAGCTTAAGGCTGGAGTAGACTTGGGTTGGGTATATACATAGCCCTAGAACCTCGGAGCGAGGTTTTCAGATAATGGAATGCATGTATAAATTATATTATATGACCTCAGAAGACTATGTGTTGTATCCGTCAATGAGGGACTGCTTTCAACTACGCGAGGACCAAGGGACCGAAATGGTGAATACCTGAGACGCCCTCGTGGTGGAGGATTCTGTGGATAGCGAGCTAGCAAACACCATGTTAGATTTCCAAAAAGCATCCTTCCAGTACTGTATTCAATGAAGAAGCAATGGTAGCGAGGGAAGCCACGCCCTGATCTCATGGGATTACGCTGCCGATATCCAGGCCTGCCGCCCCGAAGCTTAAGGCGATTAAAGTTCTCAACTATATAGAGCATGGTGGTAACGAGACTTCTGTCTGAGTTGTTGCCGCATAAGGGAAGAATAATCGCTTGAGAAATCTTCACTTTGTTTTGAACGCCGTGAAATAGATTTTGAGAGCTCTGACTGGGCATAAGCAGAGATAAGTCCAGTGTATCTTGAGATCCGGAGAATCGAGGATAGTGCAGGGATATGGAATTAACCTGTCTTGCTGACTCCTGGTAGTTGATTTTGGCGATGAACCCATCTTAATCCCAGGTGTGCTGTGTCTTTGGATTGTCATCAAACCGTTTCCCTCTCGGCACCCATTGCGAATTTCCTGACATCCCACAAGCCAAAATAGAGATAACAGGAAAAGCGCTTTCTGTAGAGAAATTCAAAGGTTGTCCCATTCCAACGGTTCATGTTTCCACTGTGAGGTGTTGTAGCACTATATTCAGACCCCAAGCTAGCTGGAACTTCCGCTTTTGGTCCTCCAATCGAAAGCACGGAGTAAGGCCAGTAACCTGGAGTCTTAGCCACCGATAACCCGCTATCATAGTTATCACAGAACCAAGCCGCAAGATATGCTGACAATGCTCCAGCCTTTTAAATGTTTGTTTTGGCTTAAGTAACACAAAATAATCTGCCACTTGTGGATGAGCAGCATCTCGCCAAATCCCTTTATTTGCCGCGTAATTTTAGAAACTGTGCCAATTCTAAGTCAGCTGCATGCCATTACGCAGAATATGCACAAGCCGCGGACCGCCGTCACCTGGTAGAATATCCTCTTGTTTAAACACATTTTAATACAGTCCATACGCGAAGCTGGAATACTTCTGGGCTTCCCGCACCTGTTTGCGTGCGGGATGTACTAATGTAGATTTGAGCGCCAGTAGCCTCTAGCGTCGGGTTGACCTACTTTCACCGTTAGGGAATGTCCACGCTCTTGGCCTGGCCAGTGGCGACCAGCGAGCTGGCGCCTCTGCCTGGTTCCATTTTCGTAGCACACTGAGGCAGTTTATTGCTGGCGCTTAAACGCACGATTGAGGCTTCCCAGGATATGCTTAGGGCCTTCAAGGTCGGCGCTGCGTAGGGTCTGGGACTGGTGACACGCACTGCCGGTAGCTGATTGTTAAAATATGTGGCTAATAGATCTATTTAGGCGCCCTATTTGCTTCGACACCGCAAGATTTCGTGATGGAGACGAATTTATTTGACGGCGGAGGGTCAAGAGAGCGCCTGCTAGCACATTCTTGGCTCCTCGAATGGACATGGCCGCCTTCGAATAGTGGTGTTTATGGACGGATGATCGGCTTGTTGGTGCTTAAAGTCGTGTGTTGTTCAGTGGATTCTCAAGCGGAGCCTTTGTTTGTTCACATAGAACGCCACTGTGTTTGAGCCGGGATGCATGAATCATTAGATGCATTCTGTAGAATGGTGCTCCTAGCAAGCGACACAGCTTCTTCATCTCTCAACATGCCGGCGGAGCTTACTTTTGTTGATTCCAGAGTAACTTGATACAGCCCTCGCTGGCGACGAGCCCTCAACCCTGGAGCCACGCCAGCTCATGGATGGGTTTTAACTCCGCTTCATGCTCAAATACCATGATTATCTTGCACCTCCTGGTCCACCATAGTGATGAGGTCTGAGATGTTTCGCAGGACCGGTTCACTGTAGGTCGCTTTGAGATGTTGCATTGATTGAAGATACCTGTAACGGGCGAATCCGTAATCTGCCTGAGACTGTCATGTCTTGGGCTGATGTGAGGAGACCCAACAGGCTCTGCCAATGTCAGAAAGTGGTAACGGAGAGTAGAAACTGGAAGTGGAACGGTCCTCAAGCGGACCCTGGAGCCAATAGTCTTCTGGTAATGTACCGATCACGGGTTGAAATGAGCCTTGGACAATCGAGATGCCTGAGTAATCCCAGATCTTGCCATGGCGCCTGTGGGTCCCACTTCAGTAAGTTTACTAACCATCCCAGCTGTAAGAGAAGCTTATGGGATGGCTTTAACTGGGTAGGCTTGAGATCGCTTCGTGATCTTGGATCTACTTGTATCCCGGGTCAGTCGGAGTAGAACCATCATGTGGAGCCCCCAGACCCATGGTAGACAGGCGGACAATAGGCTCATGGTATCCTGCGTGAATGTTTCAGGGGGCTGATGATGATTCGACTGGGAGTACTTCTCCTACTGGCAATGCAGCCCCGCCTGTGCAAATCGTAGAAGTATTTGATTCGGATACTGGATGTGTAGGGATATTAGTAGCTATCGTCTGGTAGATTTTATACTCGGCTTATACTCCATGGGGCGAATTCAACTGGCCGAATCTAGAGGTAAGATGTATCTGGGCGCGGCTTTGGTAGTTTCGCATGAGACAATTCCTGCTAGAAAAAGCCTCATGCTGTAAATGAGTCCGTATTTCTCCCTTGGAGTTTTTCTTCTTTAAAACAGAAAACCGGGGAGCAGAAGCTCGGATTCGATGCTTCACTTGATCCTAGCAATTTCATGGCCCGCTTGGTTATAGTGAGCATGGAACAGCCTCTCTCTTAACTTTGGTAGGCGTTGTGCCTATGAAGTCGAACTTGTGAGGGGTTGACTGTCGGAGGCGTGTACCTGTAGTGGGACACGGCTGTACTGAACCAAGCAAAGGTGGTACGACTCCAGCCTGCTCCCAAACCCCGCTTCTCAGCTGCTACAGCTCGCGGGAACCTCTGGGTATCCTGCCCCTTCCTGACCCTCCTCGAGAGGCTGCCATATATGGGCGACCAGTGAATTTTTCCCCGGAGCTGGCCATCTTCCTGGTCCCGTAGTTCTCTGCAGAACCAGCGGAATTTCAGATCTCCTGAGATTCCTCGGAAGTCTGGCCTGATGACTGGCTTGAAGTGTGTCCATCTAATTTAATCATAAGGGACTTCTCTGGAACCTTTAGTAGACTTCCTTGGACTGGTTGTCTATTCCTCTCCGCCAAAGATGGATGGGGAAGACCACGGGCTGCAAAAGAGTGGAGCTGTGGAAGTTCTACCCCAGCTGCAGGAAGCGAGGGAGGCCTTTGACGACGAGACTAAGGTTAAGAAGCGCCGCCGGCACAGATGTGAGATGATCTGTTAGGAAGTGCTGGTCCTTTCTTTGCATCAGTAGGGCCGGTAGTATCATCCCATCATCTTCTGGAGTACCTATTTACCAAACCTGCAGATAAGTGTTCCCCATTGACTGCTTCTAAGATCTATTTGTCAGCCAGTTACGCACCCCGCCAGTGGTTTCTATTTCTCCGCACCAGCTTTGCACTGCTGGACCTTTTAGTTTCTGGCTCTTGACATCGCTGATCAGCTTGTAGCCGGCTATCGGCGGTCTGCGCTTCCCGAAATAAGGGGGTCCATGGTGCTAGTTGAGGAACTTCTTTCTCGCTGGAAAGCTCCCGCGTAAGATGTGTAAGCCCAAACTTTCTCGTGGGAAACTATGGAAGGCTGCATCTGTGATTCCCGGGCACCTTGCAGCAATCGAGGTCGATCGGGAGGTGGTAAGTGACGGCGCCGCATCGTCTCCTCCTACTGCGGGTATGTCTCGCGCTCGAGAAGCCGCTACCTTTGAAGGCAGAGAGGATCTAGGTTGTTTTACCATCCAACATCGCATTATCTCAGTTCCTCTGAGAAAATGATGCCTCCATCATCTTCTATCCTGCATCACGAAGGAGGGGTTGATGCTCTTCTGATGTGGTGGAATGTGCAAGCCGCCAGCCCCTGCTCGTGATAGACAGCTTTGCAGGAGACCTGACTGTAGACTTGTGTGCAGGACTTGTGTGTGGTGACCTGCCAGGTGATCGGCGTGGTGATGCACGCAGGGAGACCAGCGAAGGTGAACCTGGTGGAGATCGATGTTGGTGATTCAAGGCCTATGTGGGATGACCTTCCCAGAGACCGTGAGGAGGAATTAGCTGATAGAGTTTCTCTGGCTGAAGCTTGTGCCAGTCCCTACGAAGGCCCCTTCTCAATGATGACGATCTGGGGTCAGGTGGTCCTTCTCTGCGCCCCACCCCGGGAATCACACTGACCTCTGCGAAGCCTTCCGCGGAGGTCTGCGTGGCCCTGAGTCCGCATCTAAGGATGAAGCCCGAGGAAGGTGATGATTCCTCCGCCAGCGAAGGCTAGAGATCTTGGACCTTCGGCCGAGGTGGCCTGGCATTTCTTCGAGAAGGTGGCCATTAAGTGGCTGGCGCATGCTGACAGGGGTGCCTCTGGGGTGTCGTTTGCGCTGGAGCCTTCAAGCGAAGTGCCTGCGCCCCTGGGCTGGCTGCTTTCTCCCGGCCTGTAGCGGCCCTCCACTGCGGTCAGTGGATTTGGGTCAAACAGTCTTATCTTGGATGGTCTGCTAAGCATGCAAGCAGCTCGGTGCCCTCTCTGCGATGTTAAGCATGCTGGGCCTCTTAGAGGGAGGGCTGCCATCAGTGTAGAGATATTCAGGCTGCACGGCGATCTCCCCTGCCGGGATGTCACTGTAGCTGTGTGATGCGGCTTCTTGTGGCGTGACGCTTAGGGATTGGCTGATCGGCCTCCATCTACCCGAGGCCCAGTTCGCAGCTGGAACGATTCCTGCTGAGGAAAGTTCTTGACCACTCGTAGACTTTCCCTTGGAGGCAAGACAGCTGCCCGGGGGTCACGGGTTGGGCGCTGGAGAAGACGTCCGAGGCCTCCCTCCTTGACCTTTGGCTACATGATGACGGATGTGTCTGGGGAGGCAGGACGTGCTTCTCTTGGAGGCGGCGAACTGCATCCGCCCCTCCGCCGCAGGGATTTCTAGCGGAACACCAGACGGGAGGGGGCTCGATCGCCAGCAGCTGACTGGATGGGGAATCTGATGTCTGCGGCCATGTCTAACCCTTGTTTCATGTGACTCTATCTGCGGTACGCCTCAAAGACGAAAAGATGATATTTATTAAAATGCAGAATGAGATAAATTAATGCAGTAACTGCAACGTGAATTAAACGCACAACGCTAGGAACAACTAGGGCATATTACATGTGGATCAGAGGCAGAAAAGCGTGAATCTACAAATCGTACAGATTTTCATGAACGTAAAGCTAGCTGAACAATCACGCGAACTCTACGTGAATAAACAGTAGAAATACGATAATTAATCAATACAAATAGTAAAGGATACTAGCTATACCTCTATAGTAACCTATAAGAGGTAAAAACTAAGAGATTATCAAAGGATATGTGTGTAAGGAGACACAGGCGCTCTCACATCCTGCTCACTGGGCTAAGAAGGAGAGAGGAAGCATGAGGCCAGAGGGTGGCTACACCTTTCCGCCAAAGGAGCAAGGGAGCAACTCTTGGTGAGTACCAATTAGTGATTTTATTTTGAAGGGAGCTTCAAATAAGGAGATACAAGTGTTCCACTATGTTCGCAAGAAGAAGAAGACAAGCAAAAGAGCATGAGTCAGGATAAGGAAAAATGAATATTGTTTTATGCTGAAGTAAGTAATTATCCAGCTACACCACGCTGGCTTGTTGACTTCACAAGCAGGCAACAAATCACAGATACAGAGTGTCAGAGTGGCTATAATCAAATTGTAGGTGTCGGCGTGTTTTTGTGCACAACTTGGATTTTCCACAGTGACCTGGGATTGGGAAGCTGGAGTATGGTTTGTGTTACTTTAAGCAATATTCTGGTATTATGGGGGAGACCAGAAATGGGCTAAGGGACCGTCCAAAATTTATGGCAAGGGGTGGGAGGGGATGATGATTTTTATGGAGATGCATGTACAATGGAAGTGACCCCCCCTAATGACCCCCCTGCATGTCATGTACAAAATCAATGACCCCCTTCCCCCTTCCCATATTTTTTAAGCATAATCTTTTGATATTTTGTGTACAAAATTGCTGACCCCACCCCAGTACATGTGTACAAAATTGATGACCCCCTACCTCCCCAGAACAAAAGGGTGACCCCTCTTAAAATCATCATCATCTCCCTAGCCATAAATTATGAACAGTCCCTAATCTCTTCCAGTTTTAGACAAACCAAGGGATGACTGACAACATGAGGAAGGTACCATGTCAAACAGTAACTGTATTGACTCAAGAGTATCACACTCTGCAGCAATTCTGTTTTCAACATGTAGTACATGGAACTTACTCACATCCACTGTTGTCAGACTGTCATGCATGCTCACACTGTCAACCACCGGTTTGCCAGGTTCAAACTCACTCACTTACTCCTGGAATTGTACACATCTGACTCATACCTCTACGTATATAAACTTGTTCCCAATCACAGCATCGCTCACCGTCTGGAGAAACTCCGCCTGGAAAGGGAAACAAATAACCTCACCTTCGTCAACAAAAAACGAAAAAAGTATTTCTTACTGGTAGTCCAAGCATTTTTTATGATAAATTCAACACACTTTTTAATTGTTATCTAGATCAGGGAAGAGTGTTGGCCCCTCATAATTTTTTTGTAAATAATTGACTCTGGACCAGACAATCCAGTGATCAACATCATAAGCATCGATACGCAATTGTGATACAATGACATGTGTCAACCCAGTCAGCGAGACTGAGCCTCCGATCCAGCTGGTTGCCTCTTACAACAAGTAATTGGGTTACTGAAGACCAATTCTCACCCACACCTTCATGGGTTTCAAAAATGTAGGACTCATACTGTTACAGTACAACCAGAAGTTATTGAGAATTTAAAGATAGTAATTCATTTTTTTTCACTCATTACTCACGTATTAAATGTGAATATTAGCAGAACATAACTCCAGATTCAAAGACGGGTGAACAGTTAGCATTTTGTCAAGTCACCATGGGCAGCAATGCAGGCTTCAATGTGGTGGGGCATACTACTGATCAAAGAAGTTAGAAAGTCGTGATCCATGCTGTCCCAATATCGGACCACCTCTTCTTTCATTTCAGCAATATTTCTCAGATTTTTCTTATTGACACTTTCGTTCATAAGTCCCCAAACATTTTCTATTGGATTTAGGTCAGGGCTATAGCTTGGCCAATCTAATAATGTCATATTTTGGGTCCGAAACCAGGCCTGTGAATGCTTTGAACGATGTTTTGGGTCGTTGTCCTGCTGGAAAATCCAAAAATTCCATAGAACACGTGAGCAGATGGAAGTAAATGTCCCTCGAGAATATCTGTGTACCGCTCACTGTTCATATTCCCTTCAAATACACAGAGGGGCGTTGCCCCTAACACAGATATGCCACCCCACATGTTAAATTTCGGACTGTGCTTTGGGCGCTGATACAAAGGTTTTTCAGTTTGTTTGGTCCAGAATTTCAGTGTATTAAGGAACAGCCACACAGAACTTTCATCTGAGAAAATCACATTGTCCCAGTTAAAATTTCTATGCTGTAAGCACCAGTTCAACCTTCGCTCCTTTTGTTCAAGTTTCATGATCGGTGATGGATTTCCTCGACTTTTCTGCCAACCCATTGCATGCAGCTCAGTTCTAATTGTCTCCTTACAGACAGCCACAGTTCCTCTATCAATCATATCCAGCCTTAAGTTTTCTAAACTCCTTCGTTTGTTTTTAGAAACAAGAATACCAAGCTGCCTCCTGTCACCGACAGTCAATTTTCTGGGCCTACCTGCGCCTCCGTGGTGCTCAATGCCATATCCATTGGAAATATTTTTCAAAACACGATAAACAGTGGACAAAGGGATGCCTGTTCTACTTGAAATCACTTTAGCTGATCTGATGTCATTGTTATAATACTCTAAAATCAACTTCCTCTTCTCTAAATCATCCATACTGAGGATCACTGAAAATGTCGTCTGCTAGCAAGTAAACAAAGGGGGATAACTCTTCACAAACTAATGAAAAGGATTAATGGAGTTGTCTCTCTTGAATGAAACCAAGCAATTGATAGCTGGTCAAGGTTGTGTATCCTAGAAATCCAGTTAAACATATTCCTAAAATTCTCAATAATTTCTGGTCATACTATACATACAAATGATGACGTGTCCACCTCAGACCACACGAAAAAGTGTTTCAGATACATAGTGGAGTAGGTTGCCATCTCTATGTTGCCATCAACAACAAACATCAAGTGTTGGTACAGATACAACAACCACTCCACATCACACCCCTTGACATGTCCCAGCACAAACATCAAGTGTTGGTGCAGATACAAACATCAAGTTGACATGTCCTCAGCACAGAACACAAGTGTTGGTACAGATACAACACCACTCATCACACCCTTGACATGTCCCAGCACAAACATCAAGTGTTGGTACAGATACAACAACCACTCCACATTCAAGGGGTGTGATGTGGAGTGTATGTTGTACCTGTACCAACACTTGATGTTTGTGCTGGGACATGTCAAGGGGTGTGATGTGGAGTGTATGTTGTATCTGTACCAACACTTGATGTTTGTGCTGGGACATGTCAAGGGGTGTGTGGATGTGGAGTACCAACACTTGATGTTTGGTTGTTGTATCTGTACCAACACTTGATGTTTGTGCTGGGACATGTCAAGGGGTGTGATGTGGAGTGTATGTTGTATCTGTACCAACACTTGATGTTTGTGCTGGGACATGTCAAGGGGTGTGATGTGGAGTGGTTGTTGTATCTGTACCAACACTTGATGTTTGTGCTGGGACATGTCAAGGGGTGTGATGTGGAGTGTATGTTGTATCTGTACCAACACTTGATGTTTGTGCTGGGACATGTCAAGGGTGTGATGTGGAGTGTATGTTGTATCTGTACCAACACTTGATGTTTGTGCTGGGACATGTCAAGGGGTGTGATGTGGAGTGTATGTTGTATCTGTACCAACACTTGATGTTTGTGCTGGGACATGTCAAGGGGTGTGATGTGGAGTGGTTGTTGTATCTGTACCAACACTTGATGTTTGTGCTGGGACATGTCAAGGGGTGTGATGTGGAGTGGTTGTTGTATCTGTACCAACACTTGATGTTTGTGCTGGGACATGTCAAGGGGTGTGATGTGGGGTGTGGTGTGTGTTTGTTGTATCTGTACCAACACTTGATGTTTGTGCTGGGACATGTCAAGGGGTGTGATGTGGAGTGGTTGTTGTATCTGTACCAACACTTGATGTTTGTGCTGGGACATGTCAAGGGTGTGTACCAACACTTGATGTGGAGTGTATGTTGTATCTGTACCAACACTTGATGTTTGTGCTGGGACATGTCAAGGGGTGTGATGTGGAGTGGTTGTTGTATCTGTACCAACACTTGATGTTTGTGCTGGGACATGTCAAGGGGTGTGATGTGGAGTGTATGTTGTATCTGTACCAACACTTGATGTTTGTGCTGGGACATGTCAAGGGGTGTGATGTGGAGTGGTTGTTGTATCTGTACCAACACTTGATGTTTGTGCTGGGACATGTCAAGGGTGTGATGTGGAGTGGTATGTTGTACCTGTACCAACACTTGATGTTTGTGCTGGGACATGTCAAGGGGTGTGATGTGGAGTGGTTGTTGTATCTGTACCAACACTTGATGTTTGTGCTGGGACATGTCAAGGGGTGTGATGTGGAGTGTATGTTGTATCTGTACCAACACTTGATGTTTGTGCTGGGACATGTCAAGGGGTTGTATCTGTGTCCCAGATGTGGAGATACATCACACCCTTGACATGTCCCAGCACAAACATCAAGTGTTGGTACAGATACAACAACCACTCCACATCACACCCCTTGACATGTCCCAGCACAAACACCCCCTACCTTTCCCTCCTGAACTCTAGCTGGGTCCCAGAACTCCTGGATCCATTCATTCTTGTCTTCATCCACCAGAGTTGGTACGTTGACCCCTACACAACATAGGCAACTCATCACATACCAAGTAAACGTCTACACCCAGAAAACCTTTGTGATTTGCTTAATGGTTGTTACGTGCCCTGATCAGCAATATTCCAGCTTTATGACACTGACCTGTCAATAAACAAGTCTAGACCTGAAAACAGTGATTCCTACCATCCTGTGATGGCATATGATCACACAAGTCACTGCCCACTCATATTACATGGACATAATACCATGGACCAGGCCACACTGAGGACTAAGGCTGTAACGATTCACTCACATATTCGATGAATCGAACCGTAGCTTTTCATGAATTCAATTCGTTATTTGTGGTCACCAGAACCGAATACTAATGAATATTTACGATTTTTTTAAGGGAGCATGTTTTACTTGAACCCTTATGTCCTTTCCAAACTGAGATATGCAAGAATTGAATATGTACTAGCATTGCAATAGTGCAAGTCATGTTAGTTTGCCAAGGCCGCACATGGTACTGTCGATTATAACTATTACATACCAAATTTGAGTGTCATGAGATCACTGGTTATTACTGTGACAAATCAAAACTGTCAACATGGGCATTCCATATTGTGCATCAATCACTTAACTACAATATTGTATTCGTGAATAATTATTCGTATTCGTTACCCAATATTCATGATACATATCATATTCGCCACATAGTGTATTTGTTGCAGCACTACTGAGGACCGCAGGAAACCTGACACTGGCAACAGTTGTCAGTGATTTTAATTATCTCCCCTTACTTACCCAGGAGTTTGTGGTATGGATGGTTGTACATAGCGTCAATGTCCTTCATTAAACAGTTCACAAAGATTGACACTCCCTGCAACAAGTACAACATGTGCATCAGGCATCATCTTCAATATCTTCACCATCATCATCATCATCATCATCATCATCATCATCATCATCATCAACTTAATTTTTGACATAACCAACATCATCTACATTATCGACATCACTTTCATTAACACCATCAACTTCATCATCAGGTTCATGGACTTCATCATCATCATCATTATCATCATTACAATAATATCTGACCTCCGTTGCCTGGACTTCATCATCATCATCATTATCATCATATTCCAGCCACCAGGTACTCCAAGCGTATCTGGACGAGGTGAGACTGGGAGTAGAAGGTGCCATGGAATATGGTTGGTCCCACCAAGGCAACCATCACCTGGGTCTGTCAACAATGTCAGCATCCCTCATCATTCAATGGTACAGGATACATCATCATTCAATGGTACAGGATACATCATCATTCAATGGTACAGGAATCCCTTGGTTTTATTTGGTCCATTTTACAAATAACTGTTCCCATCAACACACGGTGTTTTGCTTTAGTTTTGTTTTTTGTTTTGTGGGAAGGTAATTAGAGTTTTTGTGAAGATCATCTCAGATGTTTATGTTGAGTAACATCTGGGGAAAGGCTGACTGTTGCACTGGGGTCAAGTAGCATTATCTTTACCATTATCTCTTATCATTAACTTTACCATTAACTTTTACCATTATCTTTCCCATTATGTTTCATATTAACTTTACCAATATCTTTACCATTAACTTTACTAATAACTTTATCAGTAACTTTACCATTACCTTTACCATTATTTTCCCATTATCTTTTACCATTAACATTATCATGATCTTTACCATTATCTTTATCATTAACTTTACCAATAACTTTATCAGTATCTTTTTTCCATTATCTTTCATATTAACTTTACCATTAACTTTACCATAATCTTTTACCACAAACTTTACAATTAACTTTACCACTAACTTTACCATTATCTTAACCATTATCTCTTTGCAGTATCTTTACCACTAACTTTACCATTATTTTTACCATTATCTTTACCACTAACTTGACCATTATCTTGACCATTATTTTTACCATTATCTTTACCATTAACTAGACCATTATCTTAACCATTATCTTTATCAGTATCTTTGCCATTATCTTTACCATTAAGTTTACTATTATCTTTCCCATTAACTTTACCAATATTTTACCATTAACTTTACCATTATCTTTACCATTAACTTTACCATTAACTTTCACATTAACTTTACCATTATCTTTCCCATTAACTTTCCCAATATCTTTACCATTAACTTTACCATTAACTTTACTCATTATCTTTACCATTAACTTTACCATTATCTTTACCATTAACTTTACCATTAACTTTCCCAATATCTTTACCATTAACTTTGCCCTTTATCTTTCATATTAACTTTCCAAATATCTTTACCATTATCTTTACCATTAACTTTACCATTATCTTAACCACTAACTTTACCATTATCTTTACCATTAACCATTAACTTTTACCACTAACTTAACCATTACCTTTACCATTAAGTTAACCATTATCTTTACCATTAACTTTTACCATTATCTTAACCTTTAACTTTACCATTAACTTTACCATTAACTTTCACATTAACTCTTACCATTATCTTTCCCATTAACTTTCCCAATATCTTTACCATTAACTTTACCATTATCTTTACCACTAACTTTACCATTATCTTAACCACTAACTTTCCCTTGCCATTAACTTTCCCAATATCTTTACCATTAACTTTGCCCTTTATCTTTCATATTAACTTTCCAAATATCTTTACCATTATCTCTTTACCATTAACTTTACCATTATCTTAACCACTAACTTTACCATTATCTTTTTTTACCATTAACTTTACCACTAACTTAACCATTACCTTTACCATTAAGTTAACCATTATCTTTACCATTAACTTTACCATTATCTTAACCTTTAACTTTACCATTCTCTTTACCAATAACTTTACCATTAACTTGACCATTATAACTTGACCATTAGTTTTACCAATAACTTGACCATTGTCTGTACTATTAATTTTACCATTAACTTTAAGAATAACTTTACCATTGTCTTTACCATTAACTTGACCATTATCTTTACCATTAACTCTAGCATTAACTGTACCATTATCTTTACCATTAACTTTACCATTAACTTTACGATTACCCTTACCATTAACTGTACCATTAACTTTTACGATTATCTTGATCATTATCTTTACCATTATCTCTACCATTATCTTTACCATTAACTTTACCATCTTTCCCATTAACTTTACCATTATCTTTACCATTGTCTTTACCATTAATTTTACCATTAACTTTTACCATTAACTTTCCCGGGAGTAGTTGTGATTCCTCTGTATCCAACATACCTGTAGTATTCATCTGACTGGTACAGATCGGCCAGGGTTGGGTGTGATATTTTCCATGAGCCACTTGTATCTCTGTAGGGCTGTCGGGTTGACCGGCCCCAGGACACTGGACAGACCCCACACAATCTCGTTGTCCTTTTGGGGTGTACAGATTCAGCACAGGTGTCTCCCCTGTAGGGGCCCCTGGGAAATAAAAAGTGCATGGCGCGTGTAGTGGTGTGTGTTTCTCACCCACGGTAGCAGTGACAGTGGCAGGTTGGATATCACCATTCATTATCAGTTCATCAGTTCGGATCAGTCCAAGATTCTGATGAGATTGATCACTGTTCCCTATCTATTGTGACTTCTATTGTGATTATAATTCACTTACCCAACACATATTCAATTTTTTCGGGGCTGTGTGAATCTCTGTAAAATCTGAAACATGTAAAATGTACATTCAAAAATTGATTTTGATACGAAAGACCAAATGTTGCGCTAAGATAACTATGCCATCAATGATTGAGCATCACGTCATTTGAGCCAAAGTAGACATTGATAACCAAACATAACAGTGTCAAAGGTTGTTCCACTCAAGACTTTCAAGTCGTTTGCCTTCAGTTCACCTATATAATTACCATCAGTAAGTGGCCATCATGGCCATATAAAACTATGTGAGAATGGTAGTTTAAGTATTATTAAGACTGAATTCAAATATAGTGAATAACTTACTTCTCTACATATGGACGGAGTCGAGATGCAGGCCGGGTAGGGATTATAATGCAGCTTCTTGCGCCCATTAACATATGGAGGAGCTGCCTGAGGTTCTCCTCCATCCTTGTGTCCTCCATATACTGTCTGATGTAGTGCAGGACTGTACTGCATTACCAAGCGGGGTCTTCGCACAGCTCCATGTGAAGTCTCAGACAGCGGCTGCATCATACACAAGCAAGTTGTATGTCTGTGGCGATGGCCAATGGCAGCAAATGATCACAAAAGAGGACTACATGAACGCTAAACTCTGATGTGTAATGAACGAAAGACATCAAAAGAAGGCAGTTTCTACATCTGATGTAAGATAATGCTGCAATATGACAGTATGTCCCACACTATCTCATACAAGATGTTGATGACAATGCTAAGGTCAAATCAAGCACAAGCCAATCCATGTCTTCAAACCTTTCAGAAATAAAATGGACTGGCTGTTCCAAACTAAATGTGTAAAAAGTTCTGACTCTAGTGAGTTTCAAGCATCAATGTGTACCTCACCCACAGCAAGGATAGCTTCAAAACTTTGTATTAGGCAAGAAATGCCTCTTCCCTCACAGGTCAGACAAAGCATGCTCTCTACCTCTATGCCCTCACAGGTCAAACAAAGCATGTTCCTACCTCTGTGATCTCACAGGTCAGACAAAGCATGTTCCCTACATCTATGCCCCCACAGGTCAGACAAAACATGCTCTCTACATCTATGCCCTCACAGGTAAGACTGACTGACTGACTGAGCTTTAGTTTTTACGCCGCTTTTAGCAATATTCAAGCAATATCACGTGCGGGGACACCAGAAATGGGCTTAACACATCATGCCCATGTGGGGAATCGAACCCGATACTCTGGCGCGACGAGCCAACGCTTTAACCACTAGGCTACCCCCACCTCACCCCCACAGGTCAGACAATGAATGCCTCCTATCTCTATGCCCTCACAGGTCAAACAATGAATGCCTCCTACCTCTATGCCCTCACAGGTCAGACAAACCATGCCTCCTACCTCTATGCCCCCTCACAGGTTAGACAATGAATGCCTCCCACCTCTATGCCCTCACAGGTCGGACAAAGCATGCTCTCTACCTTTATGCCCCTCACAGGTCAGACAAACCATGCCTCCCTACCCTCTATGCCCCTCACAGGTAAGACAAACCAAGCCTCCTATCTCTATGCCCTCACAGGTCAGACAAACCATGCCTCCTACCTCTATGCCCCTCACAGGTCAGGACAATGAATGCCTCCTACCTCTATGCCCTCACAGGTCAGACAAACCATGCCTCCTACCTCTATGCCCCTCACAGGTCAGGACAATGAATGCCTCCTACCTCTATGCCCCTCACAGGTCCATAATCTTTATGACAGACATGCTCTCCCTACCTTTATGCCCTCACAGGTCAGACACAATGAATGCCTCCTACCTCTATGCCCCTCACAGGTCAGACAAACCATGCCTCCTACCTCTATGCCCTCACAGGTCAGACAATGAATGCCCCTCACACAGGTCCAAAGCATACCTCTATGCCCTCACAGGTCAGGACAAAGCATGCTCTCTACCTTTATGCCCTCACAGATCAGGACAATGAATGCCTCCCTACCCAAACTATGCCCCCTACAGGTCACAGCATGCTCCATGCCCCCACAGGTCACCATGCCTCCAGGTCAGACAAACCATCCTCCTACCTCT